TTTTTTTGCATTAAATCATACTGGGATGTTTGCTGAAATTGATAGGATGGCTCTACCTAGAAAATGTTCCACCAGCCGCCACTGGTCACACATGTTAAGCAAGTCCTCTAAGTGGTTAGTTTATCACGTGGTGATGGTGTTACTCACTGAATTCATCATAGCCAGCTGGGACGGGTATGCCTTACAGGGGAAGTGGATCTTCACCCCTCCAATGGTGTATTCTGAGGAAGCAGCCATGTTCCTCTGGTCCTGCTTCACAGAGATATCTGAACCAAGAAACACGTCTGATAAACTAAATATCAGCCAACGTTACATATTATATGGTACCATGCGCCGTGTAATGAGAGTGGAGCCCTTGTTACTGCAACTAATTCACTCACACGCTAAGGTACTGTAGCACACCGTTAAGCATTTGCCAACAGTTTAACACACGTCACTTTTCACTGTTGTCATGTCTGTGTACGTTGCCACCTACCTGAGAGTTAAGAGAAAGGCACTTGTTAGCTAGCGTTACGGTATTACTGAGTGCTTAGCGAGCGCTAATGCTACGTCTTCCACCGTTACTTCGATTCACTACTGTTATCCTTGCGCCATGGTTAACCTGCTAACCGGTACTCTGACAGCAGGCTATCAGAAACCACTTCGGCGAACACGAACTATTTGGTTAACTCCACTGTCCCCATTAAGCTTCCCGCTCTGAAAATATTGTCTTCTTCTTCGTTGGTGTTATACGGAAGCCGGCATCCGTTCTGTTGCATTTCTGCCACCTTCTGGAGCTAGACAATTATTGCGCCATCTTCATACTAGATCCATTTAATTAAGGCAGTGTCTCTCAAAAAGCCGAACAGCCATGTTATTCCTTTTCCTTTACTTCCATACTTACTAATATTTCTGTTCATCCCATTATCCTCATTTCAGTTAACACCACTCTTCTTTATGGCCTATACTATACCTCCTTCATGACCATACATGATGCACTGTCATTGTCTCTTCTGGCACTGCTTGCATGACCCTGATGGATGCTTCCCCATGATATATAGTGTCCTGTTCAGATATGTGTGTCCCACCTTCATTCTGGTCAACTTTACCTGTTCCTCCCTCTGTTTCATGCACTGCCCACTCTGCTTTGTCAGGAATAAAGGGGTCTCCCTTTCGTGTCCTGCTCCCACTCCTGTCCACTGGGACCAATAACAAAGTAACCTCACTGCCCCTCCTTGCTACACTGTTGAGTACTAGCAGGACTTCATGGACCAAGTCAGGTTGACTCTGGGCTGTTCCAGACCCAATACTCTGGATTGCAGACAACGAGTCACTATATAAATACTTAACGGGGTTGAATCCGTTCAATCCACTACATATAGCATATAACTCTATTAAAATAGCAGGCAGCTCTACTGTATACACAGGTAGTTGGATGTTCTTTTGTAAAGACTGACGTTCAGCTCTCTGGACCACAGCAGCTCCTGTTGCATCAGCTGCTGGATCCTTCGACCCGTCTGTGAAAATTGAAAGAAGCACCCTGTAACTTTTTTCAATGTGGCAATAGTATTCATTCAATACGTCTACCTTTTTTATTCTTCACTATTGCCCCATAGCCATAGTGGTACAGAAGGCCACAAGGCAGAACTCTTGATCAATACCCCCATATCTCTTGCCACTTAGTCCCCCACCCAGCCAAAGCCTGACGTCTGTGTCCCCCCTCTCTCCCAGCACTCCTGCACCACTTGTTCTGTTGGATGATTTTCACCATGTCCCTTGTAATGCTGATGTTGTTCTGAAATCAACTGTAGTCTCAAAGCCTGGTACAGAATATTGTCTAACATTTTGAGAGATATATCTATTCATCCCTTGACCCCTTCTGCTTCTTGAATCTAACAATCATTCCACAATGCAATAAACCTCTCGAAACTCATACTGTTATTGGCGTGGTCCTTGTTAGTGAAATAAATATATATATATAAAGTAATTTTGTGTTATTGTGTAAACCCTGAGATAATTAATGAGGACGTTTCTTTATTTACAGATGTTTCCTGGTCATTCTTCTGCAGGATTGTGTGAACTGCTCCGACTCATTTCTCAACTTCACTGGTTTGGTGTTGCATTCAATAAAACACACAAGTCATCTAAAGTGACACTTTTGTTTTGTGAGATTTTCTTTGGTTCAACTTCAGTCATGTTGAGTTCATGTGAAGCTTCTTAAATAGTGAATATAACATGTGTAGTGGCTTAAAACAGCTTTGCATCTGTCAACAAGCAGCTACACCGAGCCATGAGGATTACTTTGTAGAACACAGGATTTTAAATCAGTCCATATACAGATCAAAGCATTGCCACATATCCAACAGCTCTGAGAAACCATCAATGGTCAGGGAGGTAAGAAGATGAACACATAAGACGGATTGTAAACACTTCAGGAATAATACTAAGTATTTCATTAGGTAATTAAGCATTAAGTTGGGTTTGTTAGACAGAAAAAAGAATGCTTTCTCCACACATACAACTAACAGGCCATGCTGGCAGTAAAGATGTGATGATCATTAAACAAAAAACATTGAAGGATGAAAAATTGAGGGGAAAAAAAACATTGCTATTCTTGGATACCACTCTGCAAAAAAATAAACCAAAAAAATAAGTGAATTGTGGCCTGAAGGTGGACCCAGAGGTACCGCCATGCTATTACAAAACAGGTTTATCAGCTGGTGGCAATTTAATTTCATGCTAGGCTTTGGTCAGACTGCTTTCAGCACTCATCAGTCTAGTCTCAGTTTGCTAAAATTCAAGAAGACATTTCCGGGGACCACAGGATGCGAAATGCTTCCTCCTGCAGTGCGGAGAGTGTAAGAGGCCCTCAACAGTCTTCTGATGACACAATACAGCACACCAGCTTAAATACTTTTGAGCATTCTGCAAGTTTTCAGTGGGTACGTAAAGTCTCCAATACAATTAGGGCCAATTTTACTCTTTTATTTCGAATGCCTGCTGTTTTCAACCATGGTTGCAACTTGACCTTTTGTTTTTACACATATTTCTGCTGCACATTTACACGTTTGCTTGTGTTGGGGGGCAACAGCTGCATTGGCGCTGCCACGTCAACGTGCTAGAAGAAGACCGATTCTGACGTCAACGCGTTTGGGCATGCCTACTACACTGGAACATAAACAAAGGCAGGACGCTGCGCTGCAATAAACTCAACTCTCCAGGTATTTTATATGCTAACCGTACCGACAAATTGGAGAGAGACTCATTTCTGGAGCTATGGAAAACGCATTATTGATGCGGGTGAGTGTTTTTACCGACCAAGGAGGCAGGAAATACATGGAAGATGTGACCGAAGTCATAGTAGAGCCAGAGCCGGGAGAAGACGAGCCGACGTCGGGTGAGCCAGAAGAGACCAGTGGGGGAGACTGTACGTTCAGTTCTTTGGCTGCGGACACGCTTCCAGAGCGGACTGGTGAGCCCGCTGTGTCGCTACAAGTTCCAAATGCACCATGTGAACCCGTGCGAACGGAAAACCAAGGTATAATAGTGGAAGCGACTTTACCGGGAGGTCAGAGCCCGTCGCGAGCCCAGCCGAGTCCAGCGAGTCCTTCCCGCCGTTCCGTTGCATTCTTCGCGGTGTTCGACGGGCACGGGGGTCGCGAGGCTGCGCAGTTTGCGCGAGAATATTTATGGGAGTTCATGAAGAAGCAGCGGGGGTTCTGGTCAGACTGTGACATGGAGGTCTGTTCTGCTATACGCAAAGGATTTGTAGCCTGCCATCACGCTATGTGGAAAAAGCTACGTAAGTTTAACGTTACAACTATCAACTACAATGTCATGACATAAAACGTTATCAGCTGTCAATATGGGCTGTTTATGTGCCTCTCCCTCGGTTTGAGTAGAAAGAACATCACACCAAACCTCTCAACCGGACTGTAGGTCAGTCTGTGGCCTAGCCTTACATCCTAAAAGTTGTAACTGTTAACGTTACATGGGCGCACTGCTGGCCCATACATGAAAGCCGAATTTACCAGGAGATTCTCTGTGCTCAATAAAATCATTCTCCATTGAATGTGTGGTTATGTACATTTAACAAAAGGCCGACCTAAATCTGTTGGCACTATCTCTAGTCTTTTTTTGTGTGTGTTGCCTTTTAATATAAAAAGCTCTACGAGGAATGGTTTTAGCAACCAAAGGCAGCCGAGCTAACGAGGTTAGCAGTAGCCACTGGCTCCAAACAAAGCCGGCCACAGCGGACATAGGAGACCAGTTAACCTACCAAACCACAAGCCGGCCAATATTTTATTGTTTGCTCGGACTCATATGTGTGATATTGTTTATTCTATTACACTTCCATATCTTGTTATTACCCATTAGATAACCTATCCAATCATGACGTAGCCAGAGTGTGCTGTGTCGTGCAGACAACGGCTGTCTGGCTGGATGTGCCCGGACATGTCAGCTGTTTTACAGCTGGTCACACAATGGTGTCAACACACAGTGTCTGTAAAGCACATGTCTGACTAGGATTATGTTGGAAAGACGTGCTCCAGGACAGGCTGCGTCCAATAAAGGTCACAGTGTTGTCATCAGGCTAAATATTTGGAAGATATATGGAGATTAGCAATAGATAAATTAGGAGCATTTATTTTCTGCCCATCATTTTGCTGTGCTGTTATGTGTGGTTCAGTTTACTTCCGTTTGTAAGCAGGAAAGGTTATAGCTCAGTAAATACAGGTGTTCTCTCTTTCATCTTCTCAGCTGAATGGCCAAAGACACTCACAGGTCTTCCGAGCACATCGGGCACCACAGCCAGCATAGTGTTCATCCGCGGAAACCGCATGTATGTGGCCCACGTCGGGGACTCGGCGGTGGTTCTAGGGGTCCAGGATGACCCTTCAGACCCATACATCAGAGCTGTAGAAGTCACACAAGACCACAAACCTGAACTACCCAGAGAGAGGGAGCGTATTGAAGGTCTGGGAGGGAGGTAAGGCTTCACCAACAACTCGTCCTGTCTTTACATATTATTAACATTAGAAGGAGGGTTTTTGCAGCCAGGCCAGCCCATCGTTGCTCAGAACACATAACCAAAACCAACGTTTCAGTTGGAGATTCCTGTTCTGATTTAGCTGCCATTTAGCTGCCACAAGGTTTCCACTTGATTCAAACTGTTCATCATTTGCTCTGACAGTAAATTTAAGTTGTAAGTTGATTAAGCACACACTGCAGCAGATGGTGGAAATTCAGGGTTAATGTAAGTTGTTGTTTTTTTGGATCAAGACAAATGCTAGTTTAGTAACAGCTTATTCATTCCCAGGGCCCCACCAGACCCCATTTACAACTAAAAAGCACTTCTAACCTCTTTTGCGCAATAGCATATCAAAATGTTATCTGCTTCAAGGACAATGTCCTTTGTGGCCTGTCTACTGATAAGATGTGGTCGTAGTGATAGGCACCTGGATGACAACAACCAGACTTTTTTCCTTACATGACATGGTGAACTCCACAGCTTTAAAGGGGATTCATAGTTGTGTTGTAACTGCATAACTATAATGCTGCTTTACTGCATAACATATAACAAGATTTAGACAACAAGGCAAGGTTTAGTCGTGTTAATCGGGAATGCCAAGCATGCAGTATATGAAAAGGCTGGTGGGGAGAAGTGCTGCTTTGAAATCATATTACGACAAAACGTGAGGCCTGGGCAGTAGGGCCGTGGACTCTAACGTCGATCATATTTGGTATACATGGATATTAATTCATCCTACTTCACCTCAACATGTTAAGGCAAGTCCTCTTCCACATAAGTGACCATGATTGATTTGTCGTTGTAGATTTGCATCTACTGAAGAAGGGCTGACCGTCCCTTCCGTTTATTTCAAGTTGGATATTCTTGTCAGATTTGGGAAGATACTACTTTCAGCACTGCCAGTTTTATTCTGTATATTTCTACTTGCCCCTCCAGTTTCCTGCATCAATCAAATGCAGCTCATTCTACCCCGCTGGCAGCATACTTGTTGTTGCAACCCACCCATAATGTCAAAAACGGACTTTGAAATTCCTGGATCAAACAGTGGCTTATCTTACCTATTGTCTTCTCTATCTATCTGCTAACAGTGTTATCAAAAAATCTGGAGTGAACCGGGTTGTCTGGAAGAGGCCGAGGCTGAGTCACAACGGCCCAGTGCGTCGGAGCACTGTCATTGACCAGATACCTTTCTTGGCAGTAGCCCGCGCTCTAGGTAGGAAAAGTTACTATCACAGTTATCGCAGCAAATAAGGCAGCACGAATGAATGACTGGAATAATGTTGTTGTTTTTATATCTCGTCTTACAACAAGGAGCTATTAGTTATCATCAGGGATGTAAGAGAATTCAGAGAGTTTTAACAAAGGAGTGTACATCATTCCAGAGTTTTTGGACCCCAGTGATCAAAAACCATTGGGCTTCAATCTAGTTTAAAGGACTAATCCATTCAGGAAAATAGGGATCCATTGCTTTCTGATTGAGACTTTTACTGACCTTTTGATTTTTTTGTGTTCATAAAAAAAAATCTGGTAAAAGCGCTCTGTCATCCAGTTGATCAAATGCTTTGCAGCACAGTTTTATATAAGTGATCGTTTGTGCAGAGCTTTTAGACAGCAAGAGAGAGAGAGAGAAAAGGCAACCGCCCAGCAGTCATCACGGACAGTGTTTGTTAGAGCCAGGCGTGCTTTCAGCTCCTTTTCTCCTCTGCAACAGGTGATCTGTGGAGCTATGACTTCTACAGCGGGGAGTTTGTGGTTTCTCCAGAGCCAGATACTAGTGTGGTGACCCTCGACCCCAGAAAACACCGCTACATCATCCTGGGCAGTGATGGTCTGTGGAACATGGTGCCGCCTCAAGAGGCTATCTCCATGTGTCAGAACAATGATGAGGCTATGGTGAGTGGAGAGCTACACCAGCAAAGAGCAGTTACTCTTTAGCTCTTATCATTTTGGATCATTATAGATGGATGCCTTCCTTTCCTAGCTGCCTGGATTGTGGTCTGTAGTAGATTAAAGGGCTAGACAAGTAAACTACCAGAGTAATAGTCTATGTAATGTCCAGCTCATATCAGACCAATAACAGCCTTCCATGCTGCAGGCTCCATGCGGGGTATCGAGTGCCCGGCAGCTGGTCAGCCACGCTCTGCTGCGGTGGCGCCAGCGCATGTTGCGTGCTGACAACACCAGCGCCATCGTCATCGCCTTGCAGGAGCCCGGGACCTCCCAGGACGTGCTGCACCATGAGGAGGTGCTGCTGGACTTAGCCAAGGTGTCCCAGTGTCCTCCCACCTCCCTATCACGCGCTGACACTCCTCTCCTTCAGGTGAGGGCAGGAGGACTTATTTTGCACCCAAGAATTCCCAAAATGATGAAACCACAATGTGAGATATTGAGACATTATTTTGGATGATAAGAAAATTAGGACTTTTAATTTAAACAAGGTTCCGGTTTCATTTTCTATATTCAGTCAATTTTCAATAATAAGTTGAGAAAGTGTTGAATTCCCACATAGTCGGTGCCTGACAAAGGTTCATAGCAGAAGCATTGCATTACTAATAAACACTCGGGCAGTGCCTGCTTATGTATTGCCTGGCTTCTGGCGTTATGCATACAGCTTTGTGGGGTTGTGTGGCCCATTTGTAACGTGTTCAACTTCAGACCAGGACTGTGTGGATGCTGGTCCCGGATGTGTTGTAGGGAAGTGAAGAAGAGTTTGGTTGTAACGTTGGTATATCCATCATCCAGCAGCAACCGCCGTCAATGAGGCGCGGCCTTTAATGCGTGGTTTTTGCTTGCTATACTGACACTGGCTATTTAAATGCTTTAGAAACGGAACGTTTTAACAATAATAATAATAATAATAACAATAATAATAATACATTTTATTTATATAGCGCTTTTCATAAAACTCAAAGGCACTTTACATTAAAATCATCATATATAAAAGCAATACACTAAAAACATAAAATACACAATAGTGGTCACACATTAAAAGCAGTTTTGAACAGGTGGGTTTTGATTTGAGATTTGAATATGGAAAGTTCGGTGCAGTATCGGATATGTTTGGGGAGAGAGTTCCAGAGGGAGGGGGCAGATATGGAGAAGGCTCTGTCACCCCATGTCCGGTGCTTGGTCCTGAGTGGAAGAGACAGAAGGTTGGCATCGGAGGAGCGGAGCCGACGGGATGGAGTGTGGTGGTGAAGCAGGTCGGTGAGGTAGGAGGGGGCCTGATTGTGGAGGGCTTTATGAGTGAGGAGAAGGATTTTGTATTGGATCCGTTGTGGGACGGGGAGCCAGTGGAGGTTCTGGAGAACAGGGGTGATGTGGTCACGGGAGCGGGTGTGGGTGAGCAGGCGAGCAGCAGAGTTCTGGATGTACTGGAGTTTATTTAGGATTTTGGATGATGTGCCGTGGAGAATGCTGTTGCAGTAGTCGATTCTGGAGGTGATGAAGGCGTGGATCAGAGTTTCAGCAGCAGATAAGGAGAGTGATGGGCGGAGACGGGCTATGTTTTTTTAAGTGGAAAAAGGCAGTTCTGGTGATTTGTTTGACGTGGTGTTCAAAGGAGAGGTTGCTGTCGAACATGACTCCAAGGTTGCGGATGTGTGGGGAGGGAGACAGAGTGGAGTTGTCGATGGTGAGGCAGAAGTTGTGACTGGTTTTGGTGAGGGATTTGGGACCGATGATGATCATGTCAGATTTATCACAGTTCAGTTTGAGGAAGTTGGTTTGCATCCATGATTTAATGTCAGTGAGGCAGTTGGTCAGAGTGGAGTGAGTAGCAATGGTAATGGCCTTTGTGGAGATGTAGAGCTGGACATCATCGGCGTAGCAGTGAAAGTGAAGACAATATCATATTACAGATATTTTGCCAGCCAATTCAACTTGTTTACAGGGTAATCAACCTTTGTTTCATTGCAATACAATGAATACTTAACTTTCTTTACAGAACTTGCATAAAGGCGATCAAATATTTCTATGAATATGAGTTTACAGTTAGTTAAAATACCTCGCCGGCATTCAGGATGTGGGTTTATGGCATTTTGCCGGAAACACTTGTTGATTTCTGGCTTCCTTACGGAATATTTACTTCTGGAGAATAATGCAAAGCACAGGGGTTGAGTGCTCGTAGCTTGTGCTCCATCAGTGATTGCTGGCACCACGGTGCCTCATGCAATAATACACAGCTACACAGAGCGTTGTTCACTGGTTCACCAAATCCGTCCCCGTGGGGTCCCCAGCAATACACCCCTCAAGTGTCAAGTAGTAGATTCTCAAGATATGCAAAGAATGACCGACATACATAAACATACCCATCGATAGATAGATTCCTTGCTTTACAGTTAGATTGTGCTGACAATGCCTCTCTTTGAGCACTTCCTCTACCACGGCTAAGAAAGGTAGAAATGTCGAGCTAGACGGGTTTTCCTGGGGGTCCCAAATCAGCAAATCCAATATGCCCAAAAATACACCCAAGTCCCGGCTAATCACGGCCAGAAACATCGGTGGAGAAAACTCTGGTACATGAAAAAAAACACCAGGGCTCTATCGTTAAGCAAGGTAGGGGACTGCCTGTGGCCCCCCACTAAAAGGGCCCTAAACAGCTATGGTGTGTATACTGTATATGAAAATAATTGTCAAATATTTCCTGAGTTAAATCTGTGGACACCTCCTAAACCACTGTGGGGCCTGGCAACCTCCATGTATGTGCCTGTATAACATGGAGCTACTCAGTCATATATGAATATTGATCCATATTCATTGTGTTTATTACTATTTCAATGTTTCTGCAAGATTCCATTATTTTTTTACATGGCTATATGGAAATAACTAGTGTCTTCAGTAAGATTCCCTGTAAACAGTCAAGCAGTAAACCTTGCCAAATGGAGACCGCCGGAGTAAATGGTGTATTTTATTCTAATTTAAAGTCCCAGTCAAAGAGTAGAGGACTTTCACTGGCCTCATCATTCATTCCTCATTCGTTTTGGGTGTGTTATTTTAGGGCTAGGGCTTAACAGATGTTGTAACATAACACATTTACACACACACACTTGGCATGATAGCATGGGAAGTTTAATGAAGCATTCACTTCCCATGTATCTGTATGTGTAAAGAAAAGGTCCAGTGTCACACACACTAACACACTTCATTCAGCTCAATGCAGTAGTATTGAACAGCATTGTGTCCTCTACTGTCCTTAACCCTGATGTTCACACCTCAAAGTGTGTATCCACATGAAGTAGACATGAATAGCTGTGTGGTCTTGTGAATGTTGTGGAGTTTGAGGGAGAATCATCTACATTTATTTATATTTTTTATTTATATTGTTTTGCAGCGTACTCTAGAGGAAGACTCTCCCTCGGCCATGTGTGAGCTCCTCCCTGCCTTGGAGCGACGGGATGGACTATCGGGAAGCAACAGCTTGTACCACATGAATCTGTCCGACATGTTCACTCTGACTCCACTGTGTCCAAACAGTGGCGCTGAGTTACCCAGTCAGTCCGGTCCCACTGACAGGACAGTTGGCGACAGGACGCCCGACATTAAAAGAACTACTGACCGATCGTCACCGGGTCAGACAGCTAAGAAGGCCCGACGCAGGACTGCTGACAGGCTGCCGCTGGTCCAACACAACGCAGAGAAGAAACAGAAGGAGTCCAGTAACGTCTCACCCATTCTCCAGCAGCATAACAAGACCACGGTGTGTGTGTGCTGAAACACACACACACACATCAACCTGCTGCCTTCCACAGTCCACCGTGTCTCCAGTGGCATTTCTGTTCCTGATGTCTGCAAGTGTCCCGCACATTCTCACAGTGCAAACCAGCCTTGCTGTAAAGTCTGTGGAGAGACGTGTCTTCTTGCTCAGCACCACATATGAAAACTTAAGGAGTGCTCATTTTCACACAACAGATCTAGTTTGTTTGCTGATTATAGGTGTCTTAATGGTTCCTCTTACTGGTAACCATTGTAAGAAATAGGTATGACTAATGATGCCGGTGCAATTATTATGAATTTTACAGTTGAGTGTTAAGTAATTGGTAATGTTCATGTAAAAGAAATATATATTTTTGTACATTCTCTTATTGTTCGATGATAAAACGTGAGAATTAAGATGAGCTCCACAACAGCTTTCTGCATATACCATTGTGTGCACTGTTCGGTCCGAACTTCTGGACACAGAGAGAAATCGGCCCCCATCCTGCAGCCATGTGCTCTCAATCGCCTCCAAAACACAACAGCAGGTTTAAGTCAAAATCAAATGGATTTATTATCCAAGAAGCATAAAAACAGATACAAACAGTTACAAACCGAATCACACTACTAATAACAAAACAAACATATAAATTCCATGAAATGTGAGATCCAATCCGAGCCACCCAGGAGGCTGGTCTGCCTCCTGGGTGGCCCGCAGAAGATCCGAAATCCCCCAGAGCTTCAAACCTTTTGTCACCCCAAAGTTACATCTCTCAGCTCATCGATCAGCTCATTGATTGGCTGAAGTCCAACAAGCCCCTCCTGGGCCGATGCCCCATTGTTACTCTTAACACCTCACCCTGCCACTTTCACACAACCCGCGCTCCAGCACATTCCTCAAACCTGATCACAGAGACACTCAAACACACTGCTTGGTTCAAACTCCTACAAGTAAATACACTGTATCACATAACATCCATAATTAGGAGCTTTAAAACCTAAATTTCTCACAGCACACCCTGGGTTTAAACATATGTATGTATTTTTATTCTCATCATTTTATTTCATCACTGGAGATTTGTTTTGAATTCAAACTGAAGGTGCTGCTACAGTCACAGACCTGTAAGCTACTACATTGTGTGTATTGATGTACAAATACATGTAATAGCTGTTGGTAGCATTTTTATTCTTTGATAGTATGCATATGACAGAATGGAAGATGTTTTTAAGTTGTAATTGCACAATGCATCTGAAGGGATAGAGGGATTCACTCTCTTAATCATATTACAATGTTGGAAGTTGTAATGAAGCGTTAGAGTTGAGTTGTTTTGGTGTCATCATTCCACCTCGTCCTACATCAGGTAGGGATGGCTCTGTTTCCAACAGCGTCTGTGCTGAAGCGTTTGCAGGAGTTGCTACGTCTGTCTCTATAATGATGGGTTCTCCCTCTGCGTTCGCTCTGTCCGGTTGTTTGACCGTCTGTCAGTAAGAATACGGCTCCATCTCCAGCATGTCGGTCCCTACAGACGGGATTCAATACGTGTTCTTTGTTTTGTTGAGACTGACTCGGATTTCCTTTTCATTCTCCTCATACAAGCCACTGTCCCTCCTTGCTGCAGCGTCAGTTGTATGGTTACTGATGTAAGCACAGGGCTCGTTTGTGAGTAAATACACAATGCATGGACTTTCTAGGAGATTTTTTTTGCACTGTTATGGTGAACTGAATTATCTTTGAGAAGACTGTTTTTATGCGTTATGGAAATGATGCAGCTAGCAGTGGATGACATGATCAGAGTCTAAAATGAAAACAGCAAATGTAGGATATGTGAGGTCACATCATTTAAACCTTATTAGGTGGAAGGGAATCCTCACTGATCTGAGGACAGTTTGCTGAACCCCTTTGCCTCTGATGGTTTTATTACAGGACCGACTGTATGAATCAGATGAGAAATATTACCTGCAAGAAAATAATGTCTTTGTAAAGCCTTGTTACACGATAATGCATTTTCATTGAGCTAAGTGCAATTAACAGGAATTAGTAGCATTGTGGATTGGTAAATATGAAACGAGCGATAATGTTTAGATTTGACACATCCTCTCCACAAATACAGTCTGTTACTTTGCTCGGGACCCTGTATGACTTTTCTATATGTTTTGTTGTCATAAATCTTAGTGTACTCATTTACTCGTGCCCCTGATTCAGACGGCTGTGCTAACAGCCTAACGTGCATGTGTACAGTGTAAATGTGAAAAATACTTCTCTGGAAATGACCCTATTTAAATAAACAGCTTTCTGAAGTAAAGTGATTACGATGACATTTCTTCTGCTGGTAAGACTGTCACACATACTATCCCACAGTGGTCTCATGCTGAGGACATCACTTTACATTTCAGCCACTTTGTTTGAATACTACAACTCCAACATTGCATTTGAATCTTCCTTCTCATTCTCACACCCATCACACTTTTGTTTATTGTCATTTTACAGAACTTACAAATGCTCACATACATCCACATGCACATCCATACACAGGCATCAAAACCAGGAACAACAATACCAATGCAAAACATGGGAATACAATGAACCAATGAACAATAAATGATTAAGTACAATAAAGTGGGAGGGGAAGATTCAAATGAAAATAATTAGAAAAATAAATACATTCTAAAGACGTACATGTCAAAATATATGCAATATAAACTTGATAAACATAAAGTGTGACACCTTTATCAAGTCTCTGTGACTTTTTGTGACCTATTAAGTTGCTTGTAACTGTCCATTATTCTCAAAATGCATAAACGTATACATCAATATATCCCTCCATAGAAGTGGAGAAAGGAAAGTAGTGTCAAACTTCTTTTTAACCTAATTCTGCTGCTGCCAATTTTATGCACCGTCTTAATGATTTAATCTATATTTTTCATATTTACACTTTTTATAATGCATAATTACGAGCATATAATGTTATTTTGTCAGTTGGAAGTGTTTGCATTATCCTTTGTGGTACAGCCCTGTACAAAATATATGTCTCTTCTCATCACTGTCCCATTAATACTGTTTCTGTATTTATTTACTATATACTGGATAATGGTCACTACCAATCTTGATGCACATGCCAGTCACGCATTGGTGCTTCGGTGTTGGTCACAAGCATCACATCTAACAGATCCCTTGCCTGTATTTACTATTCTTGTGTTTCTGCCATCACCGATACAAACTAGATGATTCCCATCCAACAATTCTTCCACTACCTGGAACTACCATGTGTTGTATCACTCCCCACATCATTTATTTTACAGTCTTAACACCGCCCAATGGTCTAACCCTCCTTTGTCTTTAATTACTTGAATCTCCAAAAGTGTGAGTTTTTGGACTGTGACACTTTTTTGTCATTACTGACTAACTTTCAGCTTTAATTTGAATATGATTGCATCTACATCAGATACATCACGGAGGGACTCTAACTATTGTAATGTGTCATCTAACTCCCAATGTTAGGAAAGCAAAGAACCGGACAGTACAACGTACACCGATTGAAATAAAGACAGGCTGAACTCCAAAGGACACCCTGTGATGTGATTATTTGTATGGATGCCCTTCTCCTCCTTTGTTTATAGACGTGATCACTGGGGCTATGAGCCGCTGTTTTGCATCGATTGCACGATTACGTCACTGCGTCAGCGCTCGTGAAGTGTGTGCGTCGGGACGGTGTCGGGTCGACGAGTAACAGGAGATGAAGGAGAAAGATGGAGATGGAGCAGCGGGTTTAGAATCGTGTCGGTAAATTGGTGATAGGACACGTCTACGTAGTCTCACTCTGAAGCGAGTGTTGTATGAGGACGCGCGGAGGACGTGCTTTCATCGCAGTGAGGTAGCGCGTGCAGGGAGAGTCGGGGAGGGTTTTTTTGGAGAGGGAAAACAACATGGCTGCGGTGGAGCTCGAATGGATCCCAGAAACACTGTACAACACCGCTATCTCGGCTGTGGTGGACAACTACAGCCGATCGAGAAGGGACATCCGCTCGCTCCCAGAAAATATACAGTTTGATGTCTATTATAAGGTAAGACTCAGCGGTCGAGAAGCTCGGGTGTATCTGACAGCCACCACACTGTAGGAGTTTGTGTCATCAGCTGCTAACTGCTAACGCTAGCTACATTACGAGAACGTTAAGCTAGCTCTCAAAGACGAGAAACAGGTTTTTGTAGGTCTGGCTGACTAGCCGTTAGCGTCCATCCTCCTAAAACACAACATAGCGAGTTAGTATATCTGTATAAGGTCAATGAACGGCTGTTGACAGTGAAGCCATGGACATCATGGACGGCATCGATCGTGTAACTGTTAGCCGATCACACCAATGACCGTGTGACTGTGATCGTTACATGAACTGTTGTCATGTAACGTTAAACTAACAGCGTTTAGTGAGCTTTCTCTTCCTGATCTGCTTTGACACACTTTATTAGAAGGAGCCTTTCTCAGACATACTTGTTACAGCACATCATAGTTTATTAGAGCAGTTGGATGTCAATTTGCCAAAACAGCAGCAATATACTGTAACTTTGAAAGCATTGTTATTTGTTCTCTACATTTCATTAAATGCCACATTGAAAGAAAATGTCAAAACAGTGCTGCTTTTGAGCTATAATCAGGACTAGACAGAAATACTGAGATCATAACTTTTGGTCTTCAGATATGGAAGATATAACTATACCTGCTTATACTTTCCTATTATGCTCATTTATGATGTATGCTGGCGACTGGACATAGATAGACAAACCTCCCGAACCAGACACCAGAATACACCATTTATTCCTGGGACATCCAAGTGACAGCAGACTGTGTTTCTAACTGATCCCCTTGGTCCTGTACTGTGATAATAGTGTTCACCAACGTTAGATTTAGGTAGCAACAGCAGAACCACATGAAGATCTTTTCCAACACTAGATTGAATCAGCTGTTGTAGCTCTCAGACAGCATCAGGTCTCCACGCTGTTAAAACAGCACTGTCAGCAAAGCTTCTTCAGATACGGTCAAGTTACTGCGAATAAAGGCTCCACAAACTATACATTGTAAACAGTAAAAATACAGATCAGCTTTCACAGTCAAAATTAATTATATTACTATAATATACAATATATTGTTAATAAATGTTGATTAAACCACGGGGAAACAGACATATTGTCTTTTAATACATTAAATCATGGACCTTCCAGGTTAGTCTCTGTACATTTTGGGCTTTTTTTTGTTCCTAAATGAGACAACCCAGTCTATCTACAGTCATTTTCCATTTAAATATTATATTTGAATTACAGTAGAAAAGACAAAGACAAAATAACCCAATTTGCCACAATGTGGTTTAACCTGAAGTTGTCTGTTTCACCTCTTAGTGTGATGTTTCAGCATCTTGGCATTTTTACACACAAACTGGTTTTACAACATTAAAAAAAAATAATTGGGGTTCGGGAACTTGGAACCTTGAGATTACCAGATAACTGCAGCCCCAACAAAACAATTAACGGTACAACGGAAGGATGTGTAGAAGATCAAATTAATCGGTGTGACACAGACAGTTCCACCGCTGCCTACTTCAGACCGCTACATCTGACCGAGGCTCGTCTCACTCAGCAGCTCTTCTTCAGAACAGGAAGAATAAGACTCCTTAAGATGAAGTTGGATGAAATGGAATGTGTGCAGATATTTGTACCAGTGTTGCTACTGCAGCTGTCCTGTCTTCATTAGAGAGAGGCTCGATCCACAGCTGCAACCAACTGAGCCCAACCTTTAGCCCAACAATGATCAATAATGTTACTGTGCAGTAGTTTAGTACACAATACACTAAACTGTAAGTCACTATATTCAACGGAAAACACCCGTTACTCAGTAAATAAGGAGAGAATCGATGCCGTGGTGGTGAGGACAACACCTCCCATGATCCCATGCTGCTTTACAGAAAGGAATCTGTGAAATCATACAGTACTTTCTGTAAAATCATGTTTTAGTTCTCTTTCTACCGTAAGTTTTCCTAGTAAATTACTTTTTTTGTCTGTACAAATACTATAAATTACCCTTTAAAAACATGAACATGACATGCTAAATAACCTGCAGCTTTAAGGGAAAACACTTTAAGTTGTGACTGACTACTGATTTCTGTTATTTTACATGCATTATCACGAACAGTATAAATATGTGAAATATTACCTTACACTATATTAAACAAATCATTTAGTCTCCAATACGAATATATATTATATTGCCATTACAACATAATATAAATGTAATCTTAAACTACGGTTAATTACTTGTAATTCAAGTCAAGAGGTCACTCATTTCCAGCATTTGGAGATATTTGTTTGGAATTAGCTGCTTGTGAGTAACTGAGATTCGGTGTGAGTTCTGCTTGGAAACTTTTATCTGGACGCAGCAAGCGACACGTGCTGAGGTCAGCGCAACAAGCGAGGTGTGGTGCGTGAGAAACGGCGAGCGCAAATGAAACGGTGGAGCTGGTTCCTGGTCAGCTAGCAGCAACAGAGAGAGAGTTGTGTAAAGGATGAGAACTATGAGTCGGCGCTGCTCCACCCTCGTAGGATATGAAAAAAGAAACGTTGATCACTGGAACACAACTCGGTATCCACACTGCTTTCAACAGGATGAATCAATTCCAGAAGTATTTGTCATTTACATTAGTTTACACTAATAGGAATGCCCTTTCCTTTCACAGCGTAACAGATGCGTATCAGTTTTACAGGATCGCCTCTTTGTCACCTTTTTCAGTTTTAGATAAGACATTCTGTACGTCTCCACCGACACACACTTTACATGTTACTAATCTGTCCATTAATTCCAGACTCAGCATTGTGCTCCTAATGGAAGAGTTGACGTGTATTATTGTCAGAGCCTCACCTTCTCCCTCATCTCTGTGTCTCAGCTGTACCAGCAGGGCCGGCTCTGCCAGCTGGGGGGGGAGTTCTGTGAGCTGGAGGTGTTTGCTAAAGTACTGCGGGCTTCAGACAAAAGGTAAGGATGTAAGGGGACCATTCACCCATCAGTCGTCCTACAGGGTGCTTTTGTAGACTGGTCCCTCACACAGATAGTTAACAGCAGTCTGTGCTGAAAGCTACATTCACTAAACAGAGGGTCCGGTTTGATATCGCTCCCTCATGTATGGACCTTACCAAATGTATCCTGTAGTAGTCATAAGTCAGAAAAATCTAAATCAAACTTCAATCAAAGGGCCACTGATGTATCATGGGTATGTGGTATATAGGATTGTATGCTTTTCATGGTCTTATGATGTTAAGCTGAATATCTTTGAGTTTGGGAGTGTTATTTGGACAATTCAAGATATTTGAAGATGTCTTCGTGGACCCTGAGAACTTGTAATGGTTCACTAGATTCTGAAAATCAGCACATTACCTGATAATCATGAAAACATGTTTTAGTTGCATCCCTAGTACGCTTATCTTAGCGAGCATTATTTTCTTTTGGAAGAATAAATTCCATGACATTGATGGTCCAGAAGTGGACTTTTGCCCACGTGGGCAGTCTAATGAGGCTCTGTTCGGCCCGGTCCATCACTCCTTTGACCTGCTTTGAATGAGCTGTTTTTGTCTGTGACTGTGCGTTGCGTGCCCTCTCCTCCTGCTGGGACCTGTTGAGTTAGTTCCATCAGGGTTTGTGAAAGTATATAAATGTAACACTGGTATAAGAGCGTGGTAACTCTTCAGGTTAAGGTGTTTTACAGTGTTATCTGTGCTGTGATGGGCTGAATGAGAACACAAAGGCAGTAGTCATCAGCATTGTTCTTCACTGATTAGCCTGATGTTTGTGATGTTTGTTCAGACTGCTGGTTTGTTCTTTTATCGGTGAAGGCTTAAATGTAACAAACCACCTATTAGTCATTACCTCATGGTCGTGCCTTCCACTGACCCGGTCCGTTCTTTGGTCTTCTCCCCTGCAGACACCTCCTGCACCACTGCTTCCAGGCGCTGATGGACCACGGTGTGAAAGTAGCCTCAGTTCTGGCAAACTCCTTCAGCCGCCGCTGCTCCTACATCGCAGAGTCTGACGCCCACGTCAAAGAGAAGGCCATCCAGTTTGGCTTTGTGCTGGGTAAATGGGGGGTGGGTGGGTGTCTCTGACAGTGGTGGTCATTAGATATGCACCGTCGTGCTGTGTGCGGTGACCGGCCGATCAGTGTTATACAGTTGTGTGAAAAAGTGTTTGCCCCCTTCCTGATTTCTTATTTTTTTGCATGTTTGTCACACTTAAATGTTTCAGATCATCAAACAAATTTAAATATTAGACAAAGATAACACAAGTAAACACAAAATGCAGTTTTTAAATGAAGGTTTTTGTTATTAAGGGGGAAAAAAAATCCAAACCTACATGGCCCTGTGTGAAAAAGTGATTGCCCCCTAAACCTAATATCTGGTTGGGCCACCCTTAGCAGCAACAACTGCAATCGAGCGTTTGCGATAACTGGCAATGAGTCTTTTACAGCGCTGTAGAGGAATTTTGGCCCACTCATCTTTGCAGAATTGTTGTAATTCAGCCACATTGGAGGGTTTTCGAGCATGAACCGCCTTTTTAAGGTCATGCCACAGCATCTCAATCAGATTCAGGTCGAGACTTTGACTAGGCCACTCCAAAGTCTTCATTTTGTTTTTCTTAAGCCATTCAGAGGTGGACTTGCTGGTGTGTTTTGGATCATTGTCCTGCTGCAGAACCCAAGTGCGCTTCAGCTTGAGGTCACGAACAGATGGCCGGACATTCTCCTTCAGGATTTTTTGGTAGACAGCAGAATTCATGGTTCCATTTACCACAGCAAGTCTTCCAGGTCCTGAAGCAGCAAAACAGCCCCAGACCATCACACTACCACCACCATATTTTACTGTTGGTATGATGTTCCTTTTCTGAAATGCCGTGCTACTTTTACGCCAGATGTAATGGGACATACACCTTCCAAAAAGTTCAACTTTTGTCTCGTCAGTCCACAGAGTATTTTCCCAAAAGTCTTGGGGATCATCAAGATGTTTTCTGGCAAAACTGCCAGAAAGTGCTCAGCAGTGGTTTTCGTCTTGGAACTCTGCCATGCAGGCCATTTTTGCCCAGTCTCTTTCTTATGGTGGAGTCATGAACACTGACTTTAATTGAGGAAAGTGAGGCCTGCAGTTCTTTGGATGTTGTTCTGGGGTCTTTTGTGACCTCTTGGATGAGTCGTTGCTGCGCTCTTGGGGTAATTTTGGTCGGCCGGCCACTCCTGGGAAGGTTCACCACTGTTCCATGTTTTTGCCATTTGTGGATAATGGCTCTCACTGTGGTTCGCTGGAGTCCCAAAGCTTTAGAAATGGCTTTGTAACCTTTTCCAGACTGATAGATCTCAATTACTTTGTTTCTCATTTGTTCCTGAATTTCTTTGGATCGCAGCATGATGTCTAGCTTTTGAGGATCTTTTGGTCTACCTCACTTTGTCAGGCAGGTCCTATTTAAGTGATTTCTTGATTGAGAAGAGGTGTGGCAGTAATCAGGCCTGGGTGTGGCTAGAGAAATTGAACTCAGCTTTCCAAAGATGTGATAATCCACAGTTAATTTATGTTTTAACAAGGGGGGGCAATCACTTTTTCACACAGGGCCATGTAGGTTTGGATTTTTTTTTCCCCCTTAATAATAAAAACCTTCATTTAAAAACTGCATTTTGTGTTTACTTGTGTTATCTTTGTCTGGTGACCGAGCTCTACACATGACTTTCTTTCTCTTCCACAAGTAGCTGTGAGAAAAGATACCGTAGGATGTGTTAGTCCCCACATAGTTTGCACTGCAAGATTTCATTTAGTTGAATATAGAGCATATGTTTTAATCACCAGTTACCACAGTTGATACTGAACCTATCTCCCCACTGATTGGGAGACGGTGGGACTAACCTGATGCCTCTTGATTGTAGGCGGCTTCCTGTCGGATGCAGGCTGGTATGGAGATGCAGAGAAAGTGTTTCTGTCGTGCCTGCAGCTGTGCACGCTCCACAGTGAGGTCCTCCACTGCTACCGGGCTGTGGAATGCTGCGTCAGGTCAGTCTCAAACGCTCTGGACACTTCGTGTGTGGTTGAATCTACCAAGAATTCTACAGCCCCAGACTAGGGAGGTCAGCTTCTGTTAATTAAGCTTTACCAAAAATCTGTAAATAGCAGGTTCCTTCACTTCAGCAATCTCTCCTCCATGTTTGTCCGATTTAGTGGTGCAACGCCGACCACTGTAGCTGCTGTGTGTTTGTGTTTTAATATGGTATCCGTCCCATGTTATTATCGCACCCATTCAGTAATGCAGAAGTAATATGAAGAATGATCTGACTCTCACACACATAGACACCTGGTATGTAGGAGGGTCGCATATGATGAGCTCGATAAATTGCTATTTTAGGTCAGATCAGACTTGTATTAAGGTTGTTAAGGCTGCAATGAATGGAAAGATTTCACCGGGTTAACCTGATCTGCCATGCTCATATTCGAAACTGGCATCAAGAAGCGGGGGGGGGGGGGGGGGGGGGGGGGGGG